GTAAAAGAAGCGCCAGGAAAGGAACGAAGATGAGGAAGATAAAGGAGCTGGATGTGTATATATATGTCACTAGTGTGTGTGTGTGTGTGTGTGTGTGTGTGTGTGTGTGTGTGTGTGTGTGTGTGTATGTATAAGTTTATGTATGTTTACACATACACCAATCAGCCATAACATTATAAACACCTCCTTGTTTCTACACTCATTGTCCATTTTATCAGCTCCACTTACTATATAGGTGCACTTTGTAGTTCTACATTTACAGACTGTAGTCCATCTGTTTCTCTGCATACTTTGTTAGCCCCCTTTTACCCTGTTCTTCAGTGGTCAGGACCCCCATGGACCCTCACAGAACAGGTACTATTTGGGTGGTGGATCATTTTCAGCACTGCAGTAACACTGATGTGGTGGTGGTGATGTGTTAGTGTGTGGTGTTAGTGTGTGGTGCTGGTACGAGTGGATCAGACACAGCAGTGCTGCTGTAAAAGGGGGCTAACCATTGTTACCAGAGTAAAGTTCCAAAGCTAGGGTCTGTCAGGACATAGGGGTGTATTAGCACCTCTGGCATAGGTAACGTGCCCATCTGTGAAGACATCATTAAGACTGATGGATTTAGACACATTTAGGAGCATTCTAAACATGTTTTTCGGACACCTATGCTTAGTTTGTCAGAACAACGCCAGGCCACATTCTGCACATGTTACAGCAGTATGGCTGTGTCCAGAAAGTGGAAGTGCTAGACTGACCTGTCTGCAGTCCAGAACTATCTCCCATTAATAAAATGTGCCACATTATAAAGCACAAAGTAAAACAATGAAGGCCTAATACAGGTGAACATCTAAAGACTTGTAATGGAAGAATGGCAACAGAATCCACATTCAAAGCTGGACCAATTAGTGTCTTCAGTCCCCAGAGAACTGTTAAGCGTTATTATTAAGTGTTATATATTTAGCATTTCACATACTGTTCAATTTTTATTTTTTTTTAAAGTGAAGTTTGTATTATAGAATCATCTGCATTATTTAAAACCTGTCATTTTATACATTTTTCCACAACAAAATTAAATTTACATTATTGAAAACAGGGATATCAGTCATCTGAATGGTAGTGTGTTGCAGAGCCAACTGTCATCTTTTGCTAATTGTCCACTAGGAATTTACTGCCAAAAGACAACTATGGTTGAATACGCTACTGTAGTCTCCTGACATTGTATTTGGGTACACGGTGTGTAATGAATATGATGCTTGCTGAGCACAGGGCCTGTGGGAGATACAGTAGACTGGAGGAATTTGATACACATGATTGTAATCCACATTCACACACAATATCAGTTGATAAGAAGTGAAGGACAATCGCTACAAAGCCCACGCTGGCCATGCACACCTTTTACCTTCGGCTCTCGAGCGAATCCGCTGTTTGCTGCTAATTAAAAGGGGCTCTTTGTGTCCCCTTCTCTTTTGAGCCAGGATCCGATGACAGTGAAGGGACAAAGAGTGAGCGTAGGTTCGGCGACAAAATACCAGCCTCCAGAGGATGACCTGAGGGTGCTCCAGGCTCACCACCTGGGATCTGTTATCTGAGCCCCTTACATACTAACTCACTCACTCGCTCACTCACTCACTTACTCGCTCACTCAGTCACTCTCTCACTCACTCACTCACTCACTCACTCACTCAGTCACTCACTCACACAAGTGAGTACAAAGTTTAGACTTATGGAGAAGTTTGAGCGATGTTAATAGATGTTTAGTTGAATGTACAGCGTCAAAATAAAAGTTCCACTAACATCTTTTTAGATTCACCTTTAGTTTTATTTTATTAAGTTATGTAGAAACTTAATTAGACTTAACACAGGAATTTTATACATACTTAACTTGCCTTTAAAGTGAACTTACATTTAACTTAAATTTAACTTGATGTCTATTAAATTTATTTTAATTTCCTTCTTTTAAAACTATTTTTTTACTCTTAAAACTCTTTTACACTCTTAACTTTCTGGTTTCCTAAAGAAGCATGTTTGGAAAAAAGGAGTGTGAAAAACCTTTAAAAGGTTTTAAAGAACCTTCGCATAATTTAAAAAAGTTCTATGCCAATTTCAGGATTCTTTCTAGAACGTTCACATTATGTGAAGTTTCTTGAAAATATGGTGGTTCTTCATGCAAACACTTTTGCATTTACAAACACTTTTCTCCAAACAAAACAAACAAACAAACAAATAAATAAATAAAGTTATTTTAGGCAGCTTTTATGAGGTTCCAGATATCTAGTGCTCAAAAATAGGTATAAGATCTATAGAGGGCTTAGATGTACAGTTCTAGAAAGGAATGAAATGAATTGGTATAGAACCTTTACATTATCTTGGGGTTCTTTAACTTTTAAACACATTTTCAAGACACAAAGATAATTCATTTACCAAACGGTTAATGAACCACCCACTGAAAGGTTCTTTAGGGAACCAAAATTGGTTCATCCTTGGCATCACTCCAATGAACGCTGCTTTGCATTTTGATTTTTTTTTCAACAGCGTACGTTAAAGACAATGTGAGCATCTACAGTGGACCATCCAAAACAGTGCTGCTGCATTTTTTAGCAAAATTGGCTGAACACACTGGTAAATGTAGAGCACGCTGATTTTACCGTATTGCCTGGGGTCAGTTCACTGTAGAAGAATCACTGTGGTTTCTTTAAGGCTTTCTACAGGGACTTTTCAGTTCCAATCCATAGGTGTCACTGTCTTTTATGAATTTTACAAATAAATACACCATGTAACTCGTGTACATGTCTGAAAAAGTGAGTAATATGAGGCATTATGCTTTAGCCAAACATGACATAGCTGTGTGAATTATTCTAGGCGGCAGTGGACACCTCAGACAGCTCAGTCATAATACAACATGTTTACACTACGGCCCTGCTTGAAATGCATTCATCACACACTGAGGCCCTGACGAAACCCGCTCCTGTGGAAAAATAACTAAATGCCATACCTGCCGTATTTATGAGGCTCAAACTGGGCTTTATTGTGGCAACAACTCAAACTTGCTGCTCACTATGACTCCCGTGGGAGAGCATTTGTCATAGCAGAGGGAAAGAAAGAAACACAGACGTCATAACAAAACAACGAGAGAGAGAGAGAGAGAGAGAAAGGGGTTAACAAGAGTGGGTATAATGGGATACTGATGGTAGGGAAATGCTTAAATCATCTTCACTATTGATATAAACACTAAACACTTTGCGATGCTTCTTCTGCATTTATTCTTTAATCATTGTTAATCATTTCTCACCCACAGCTCATTGAAACAAGCTGAGAACTTACATTGAAAGTGTGGATTTTTAATCCTGGTGTTAATAAACCACTTTTAATCCATACTATATTTATGATTGTAAAGAGAAGGAGATATTTTATTGATTTGAATTTGATTAAATGTGACCATTATGTTTCTTTCATGGAAAAAAAGAAATTACAAGTTTTGTTTTTTTGACATCAAAACAACAATAGAAAGGTCTGCTTGAGCAGGTAGACGTATCGACTCGAATCTGTTGATATAGAATGTAAATTGAATGGTCATGTAATCTACCATTACATCACTAATGATGTCATTATTGATTTGAATAATTATGTAATGAATGTTAAATTTATAGCTAAATGACAATAATAACTTTGGACGTATTTATTTGTTTTATTTCATTTTAAAGCTACCAGTTACACAAAACAAGTCAAATACAAAGTTACATGTGACGTATTCAATTACTCTGCAAAAAAAGCCAAATTAGTGGCTCAAACATTGTATAGTTTGCTATACAAAGTATTTGCCATTCTTTTTTCTATATCTACGTGTCTTTCTTTATCTTTATCTCTTTTATCTATCTGTCATGCATCCCTCCAGCCATGACTCTCAGGAAACTCCAACTCCCAGAGCCCTCTGGGTGAGCATGTGATGTCAACGTCACCAGGTTCCACCTATCAGAGATCAGCTTCCCCTGACTATTGATGTTTTTCACCTGTTCTATGTATCATGTGACTATATCCAATTAGTTTATTAGCCTGTGCTTTAGATTAGGTTAGTTGTGAGGTATTGCTTCATTCGCTGAACTACTGAGCGGTGTTGACTGTGTTCTGTTCTACTCTTTGTGTGTCTGACCCATTGTTTGTATTTTTGACTCTCCGTTTTGCCTGTGCTCTTTATATTATTGGCTCGGCTCGGTTTGGTTTAGACCTTTATGCCTGTTTTTCGACCTAGATTGTGGATTTTGGACAACCTAGTAAAGCCTCTTTTTCACAATTTATCTGCACACTTGAGTTGAGACACTTGCAGATTTTGCATCAAACTTTTAAGTGATTTACAGGACAGCTTACAACCTACAACTCAATTGCAATTTAGTCTCTTGTAGGCTTCAAGCATCTAAAGTTGCATGAGTGCTTGACCATATAAAGCCAGAGGGCTGAAAAGAAGGGTCATTGTGCAATGAGACTTCTGATGAACTGGCCTACAACCAGATCTATGCAGTTCAGAAAAGTTGATTCATCACTGATTCATCACATGTCAAGGAAAGAGCTGTAGATAATTCTTGTAAGTCAGTACAGAATTATCCACAGCCTTAGTCATCATTCTGGACTCATTGAAAATGTATAGCTTTGTACAAATGATTTGAACCCTGTGAAGTTGCAGAGGGTTAGCATCACGTGGGAATAATTGTATACATGTATCTGCAGCACAATTGGTTAAATCAGAGATTCCGAACTTTTAAATGGTGATCCCAAACTTGTGATGTGTAGCGTAGCTGGTTGTGGTGCTGCACTCTGTGAGTCGTGTGGGTTCAGCCAGCTGAGGTTATGAATAATTTCTGGGGGGAGCTGCTGACTTTAGCCTGGGCCGGTTTGCTGGGCCTCCCTCTGCGCAGCACTTTGCCACTCTAACACTGTTAATTATTAAACAACCTCATCGCTCCCTCGCCTTTGCCTGACTGAGCAAACTGGGTGTGCTGAAGTGTATGTGTGTGTTTGGGGTGAGTGTCACGAAGTAAATAAAAAGTTTAGGTAATTTCTCAGTCTGCTCATTTCAGACCTTTAGTCATTTGTGTCAGTATGGAAGGTAAGACTGGCATTACCTCTCCGCTAACGTGTTGAGATTGAGTTGTTATTAAAACAAAAGTCACTGCTGTGTGTTTATGTTTGTGTGTGTTGCGGGGCTTTGTTACTGAGTCTGCTCTCTAATGAGGTCTAGGTAAATGGTGTGCTACTCATTAATTCATAAAGCAAACACAGCTTGCTCAGTGAGTAGACAAAATTGTTTATTACTTATTTAAAGCTATTTGTTTCGGGACAGCATACAACGAGACAGCGCCTCCTGTTTCTATACAGTGCTAATCACAAGACATGCCATTTATCTGTTTGCTGCATAAGTGTTTGATGGAGTGTTAAGACTGGCTGATGCAGAGGGAATCTGAGTTAGAGATGCTTCAGTCACAACTCTGAAAACTTCAGTAGCTGTGGATCGTTCTTACTTTGACATAATTGAACAATTGAAAGTCAAAAGTTTTAATCATTGCTCTGCTAAATGTAATAAAATCATTTAATTACATTACATCATGAGTTATATTCACATGCTGCACTGACCAGTTCAAGTCTGTAAAATTACTTTTTTGTTGATGCAAAAAAATGACAAGAACATGGCAAAATGCAGACTCTATGCAACTCTATCTCCCCTGTGGGGTTTCTAATATTACGATTTTTGGTCATTACAGATTAAACACAGACATTTGATGCTTGGTCAAAAGTACGTGGACACCTGACCCTCACACCTTGTTGGACATCTCACCAAGAACCATGAGCATTAATAAGGATACATGTACCCCCCTCCTCGTTTATAGCTCCACTCTTCTGGAAAGGCACTGATGTTGAATGAGAAGGCCTGGCTTGCAATCAGTGTTCCAATTCATCCTGAAGGTATTCAGTGGGTTGAGGTCAGGGCTCTGTGTAGACCATTGGAATTCCTCCACACCAAACGAGTCAAACCATGTCTTTTTCGACCTTGCTTTGTGCGCAGGAACATAGTCATGCTGAAACAGGAAACAGCCTTTTCCCAAACTGTTGCCACAAAGGTGGAAGCTTATGACTAACCATATAATAGGGGCCGAGCCTAAACTCTGAAAAACAGCCCCAGACCATTATCCTGCATCGACCAAACTGTGGCATTATGCATTCCAGTTGGTAGCAGTGTCCTGATCATCCAGTAGAAAGTGCTAGATAGTGAAGCATTATTCATCACTTGAGGGGACATATTTTCACTGCTTGGCATCGCACATAGTGATCTTAGGCTTGTGTGCAGCTTCTCGCCCATGGAAACTCATTTCATGAAGCTCCTGATGCACAGTTCTTGTGCTACTGTTGCTTAAAGGGGCAGTTGGGAAATCTGAAATGAGTAATGCAACAGAGGATAGGCCATATCTACACACTACACACTTCAGCACTCGGCAGCCCAGCTGTGTGAGTTTGTGTGGTGTAGCGTTTTGTGGATGAGCTGTTGTTGCTCCTAGAAGCTTCCCTTTCTCAATAATTACACTGACTCACGACCCATTCTACAGTGAGTGTTTGTGGAGATTGCAGGGCTATGTGCTGTTAGCAGTGGATGTTAGAAAGGGTGTCTACATACTTTTGGCCATATAGGTTTTTAGGACTTCCAGAAGACCTAGAGAGTTTCTCATAAACTTGGTCTCACCCATGTTAAATCAAAACATGACAGGTTGGTTATTCTGTCACTTCCTAATCATGTTGGTACTTAATCTTAAGCCTTCTGTCGAGCTTCTGATCATCTAACCAATGGGAAAGCCTGCTTGGCTATATCTACGTAGATACTATAGAAAAATCCTTACTTGATAGTTTTTCTTTGGGCATCTCAAGATTTACCCCTTTTATGTCCAACCATAATTTACAACGCATTACTACAAGACTTGCAGAGTTTGAATATAATTATTTTATTAAATGAAAAGGAAAGAACATTACAGTTTTAGTTTCCAGAATCAGGCCTATATGAAGGCCTCAGAGACTTTAAGGGTTCCCTGCTGAGCTATGATCAAGGCTATGTTATGCATTTTGTAGTGTTTCTTGCTGACTGGTTTATGTAACCTCAATCTGGCATTTAAGGTGAGTGACAGCCTGCATTTTAACACTGAACAACAACGAGGAACAAGGCGCTGAAGACAGGATGCTTGACACAAACCACAGATGCCAGCGTGTCTGAGTGACTTGCTGAAGCATTGAAAAGTGACAGGACCTCCAGCAGCCTAGCTCTAGCTTCCTGCCCCTAGGGAGAAATCACTGTACCCCCAGGCTTCTCGGGCCTGGATGTTTAGACCACTGTCACCCTGCTTTTCGTCCACGGCAGGGAAAATCTGAGCTTAATAAGAATGCAGCTTTCATCGAGTGTCATGATCAGTTAGGGTTCTTTTGAAGAGGAGCTGTTCCTTTGCTTCAGGAAGGTCTGGAGAGAGGCCTGCCCTTAGCCGCCGCTAATTGCACTGTTTAGCATGTTTTCCTCCAGAGCTGCACTTCAAAGGAAATGCTACTCCTTCTTTTCCAGTCAGCATGCAGACCTGCAAAGCCTTCATAAATGTCACCAAGCTCTATTTCAGTCATAAAGCATCCACTTCATGACAGCTATCAATGAGTGGTAGCTCCACAGCTTTGCTAGTGCTGCCCAAGGCATTTAGCTTTTGGCGTAGCCATACTGGAAAAACACATTTGCTGCAGGTCTGTTGTTCACATCTACTCCACAGATGAAGCGAGAGTGAGATTTTTCAGGAAAGCCGTGGTCTCGTGCTGTTTTGTTGCTGTAATACAGGCTCTGGGCTGTGCATTAGAGCCATGTTTGCTCAGGCTATTACCAGGATTATGCGGAGTTTTCTGAGATCTACAGAAAATAAAGAGCTGATCCTCACTGCGGCCCACCACAGGACTGGACACAGAGTCTCTGTGATAGAGTAACACAGAGGTTGAAGTAAAACAGTGTCAGACGGGTGCAGACCACCATCACAGTACAGCATCAAAGGCAACAGTGTGATCCAGCTCTAATCCCCATTTAAAGGGCCTAGATTATAGAAAAATGAATTTAATCTACTATGGAAACAAAATTTCATATTATTCACTAACATATTTTTCACTCCTCGGCCTATACAGCCCTGATATGTAAACTAGCTGCAAAAACAGCCAATTTTTAATTAATCAAAGTTGTGATGTCTACTGAATTAGTTCAAACTGCAGTTCCACATAAAACTATTAAAAAGGAAGCATTAACTTATATATTTGCAAGGCTAATGTTATGATCTACCCAAGGCATTAATACAGATATTAATAAGCTAAATATACAAAATCATCATGTCATCAGAGTGCTTAAAATGTCTGTCCTAAACCTTAACCCCCAAAGTTAATAAAAAGTAATATTACATTTAAAAAATAATACTTACATTTTTATTGTATTTTTTTCAATTCTTTAAAGATAATTTTGATTTATTTTTCTTATTGTGAGTTTGTTTTATTTTATTTTATTTTTTTTTCCAAAAAATGCTGTCTCACATTTCGTGTCACTAACAAAGTTTTTATCCATAGGTGGAGCCTTATTTTAGAGCAGGAAGTGAGACTGCATCCCTGTCCTTCATGGCCACACGATGAGCGATTAGATGTCACTGGGACACATTTATTTCAAAACAAAGTCTGAAAATCAGTGTGTAACATTAATTTGTCATGAATTAAATATATATGGCATGTCATCAGCAGGGCTCCGTAGTATCTCATGCTTTCCTCTGTGCAGTTTGAAAGAAGGCTTTACTGGGATTAAGAGAGGTTAACAACAGTAATGAAAAAATCAATTATGTCTTTCTTACACAAACCCACACAAACATTCATCCACAGAATCTCTCTCTCTCCTCTCTCTCTCTCTTTCTGTGCTCCCCTCTCCTCTTCCAGACCTCCTTTTCCTGATCTTTCCTTGATTTATTTGCGTAACATTCATTTGCCTTAGTTGGGATGACCGCTTGTAACTGAGTCTCTGTTGTAGCTGACCTACAGGCAGCAGCGCAGCGGAGTGCAGCAGGTCGTCTGTCCAGACTGAGTGTTACTGTAACAGGCCGTGCGCTCATGTTTTGCTCCACTCTCTCTCTCCTTATCATGCCTGTTTGTTCTGCCGGAGGCTACATTCAGCTCGACTGTGTGGAGAGAGAAAAGCTGTGTGAGTGTGTGTGTTTGGGGTGGTGGTTATCAGAGCTCAGGGGGATTTAAACAAGGCTGACTAAGTGCAGGTGAACACACTCCACACACACAGGTGCCTCCACACTGTGCTGTGTTGACGGAGGTTCTGTGATTGTATGTGTACGTGTTCTAATGAAGACCATTCTGGAGTGTCTGTTTTCGACTTCTTCACATACTCTGTTAATTTAGCCCTGCTTGGTCTCGAGTTGAAGACACAGCTCACAGGCAGTAGAACAGATGTTAGTGCTTTAACTGCTTTTCTGTCCTTATCTCATTGCAGCAATGTTATAAATGTTTGTTCATATCAGTATGCTTGGTGTACACTCAGTGAGTCGATCTGGAAGAAATAACAAGATCCAGAATGTGTAGATACAAATAAAGCTTTTTTTTTTTATTATACTGTGTCTGAAGTGCAGAAAAGACTCTTAAAGATCACTCTTGGACATGAAAATTGTTTAAAAAAAGCATTTAAAAATAAAAATTATAATTATACAAAGTATCTACAGGTATTACAATTAGCTTTAAACTCTTAAACTGCAAGAATGTATGTGTACCCACATTTTAATTACCCACGCATACAAATAAAACTACCTTAAAGGGTCACTTGATGCATAAGAACTACTTTTGATTCCCAAAAGAACCTTCCAATGCATTGTTCTTTAAAAAAACTCTTTTGTATGGGAGAGTTAAGGCGAAGAACTTTGTTAACTCTTTAGAATCAACAACAACAATAAAAGCTATTTTTTACTCTTATCCGTTAATATCCTGATCTCACAGTGTGGTTGTTGCATTTATTTTGACATAGTCTAACAAAGCTGAAATAGATTTGGCTATTTTGTTTTTTGTCGGTAATGAACTTTCCTGCAAAACACAAACAAAACACAAATCAGAACGTTCTTCACACATCAATTGCCTTTTATGGCTTCTCTGATTAAACAGATAATAATAAGCCTTTACCTGAATCTGAATTGCCTGCTCACTCAGGTACTATTGCAGTGCATCCGTCAATAGAAAGCAGCTTTGTGCTTAATTTACATAGTGATAGACAACATAGTAACACACAGAAAGCTCAAAATTCACATTCTGTTCCATTTTACTGTGATCATCATGGACATACACGTCATGACTGCTCTAGTGGCATTTTCAAAAGGGAACAAAGACTCTAAGGCCCAATCCCATTTCATCCCTTGCCCCTACCACTTAGCCCTTAGCCCTCTGTTTTGCATGTTCATGTCTAGGGGTAGGGTGTCCCAATTTTTATTGAGATAGAGGGGTAGGATGAAGTGTTAGGGCTACATAGCCCTTCAAACTGAGGTTTTTCAGAGACTCCAAATGGAGTGTTACGGAAAAAAAAAAGAGAAAAACCGGCAAAATGGCTGCACAAGCGACCAAAGAAACCCACAAATGTCGGTATTTTCTCCTTTAAAAATTATGATAACTATTGTATTGACTTAATTTAATGTTGTTTCAATGTATTATGGTCATTTTCTTCATAACAAGCATAAAAAATCGCTAATAGCATGCTAATGTCTCAGTAGCTAGCTAGCTAATTTTCCCGTTCCACCTTAAATAGTCCAGCAGTTCTGACACCTGAAGTGCCAGAATGTAACTGCTGCACCATTTAAGGTGAAACGGGAAAATTCTAACAAGAACCTGGTGAATATCTGACTTTAGCTTCACCAAAGAATTAGGAGTGGGTGATAATAAATAATTGTTTTATACCCCCTTTTAGAAAGCATTTGATGCCCTAAATGTAACTAAAGCCCAGCAGTGAGGAGCTGAACTTTTCTCTTCTCTGCTATCACTGAAGACGGGCAGGGTCGTCTACAGAGCACCGTTAGTAGCTGTTAATGAATGTTTTTATTTATTTATTTATTTATTTATTTATTTTTTGAGGGTTGTCCCATTTTGTAGGGCAAGATTTCAACCACTATCCCTTGTAACTCAGTGACACTTGAAAACAAGGGGTAGGGGTAAAATGAAGAAATGGGGTTGGGCCTTTATGTATCACCAACAAGACTTTCTGTTTCATAGGGAAGCTTAAAGAACTTCCACAAAATGTAACGGTCCTATATGAATTAAAAGTTTTCCAAAATTATGGCTCACCAATCTTATCCACATTGGTGCTTTGTGAATAAGATTGGGGATCCCTGATCTAGAACCATATTGTCAATCCAAGAACAATTTAGAAACCATTTACTTATTTATTTATTATTTAGTTAGTTAGTTAGTTAGTTAGTTAGTTAGTTAGTTGTACTCACTGTCTATGCACCAGTACATTTCTGTGTCTCTACACACTTAAAAAAAGATGGTTCTTCAAAGGATTTTTTTAGTAAAGACAATGGTTCTATAAAGAACCATGAACACTCAAAGAACCCTTTGCATAATTAAAGGGTTCTTTGTGTTATGAAAGCATTCTTCAGACTGATGGAGGATGTGGTGTAGATGGTTCTATATAGAACCTACATGCGCACTCATGTCCTTGTTTTAGTGTCTATGCACCAGAGGATTAGCCTGAACATGGTTCATTATACTGTACCCTTTATATGTAAAATGGTAATAAAGTTGAATAGTATGTATACAGTATAACTCACATATTAGTTCTATAGATCTTCTGAATAATGGACAGTAGTTACTGAACAGTAATATTGCAGTATAAGAGGTTAAATACATGCTTAAATCTGATGAAGTCTTCTTATCTTCTTGTTGTCCTCCTGGTTTGTTTGTTCTGGTTGGGTGAGCTTAGTTTTAAAGTCTTTCCTCTTTTCAATAAGCATTTTCTTTCTTCTTTTTTTCAACAAGCACTCCCGCTGTTGCAGAGAGGCAGGTGGTGAGACTGGGGTTTAATGAAGACCTCAGTGGCTGGTGGGTTTCTGAGAGACCCTGACTTCAGGAATTTCATTTCACCCTCAGTCGGGTTTACACACACTGAGCTGTCTGCTGTTACCACTTAAACACACTCAGCAGGGCAAAGAGAGCAGAGACATGGTGAATTTCTGTCAGAGCTAAAACAAACAGATGTCTGAGTAGACGGATGGAGAGACGGATGGGTGGAGAATGTGTGCTACTAAAAGTGTAAAGGTTTACTGAGAGACTGAGAGAGAGAGAGAGAGAGAGAGAGATGGGGGCCTACAGAGTGATAAAAGCTGGCTAAATGTAATACAATTAAAGAGATAGTTTAGTGGAAATTTCAAAGTTATATAATCTTCTCCCACCTTAAATGTCGATCTGCCAAGATGTTTGCCTTTTTAGCTTTGTGCCATAGATAAGAATTAATGGAACCTTAAATACCAATCATCATTGTCAAATTTTATGTCTAAATCATCACATACTTGCTTTAAACTGAGTCAAATTGTTAGGCTACACTATGTAATATTTGGGGATGTGGAGACCTCTCTGGTGGAAATGCGTAATTGCATCCAATGTGCAGAAGAACATTTTGTAACATTGATTGTGCTTCGGACCACTTCCCTCAAAGGGTATTTACAGAGAGTCAAAACTTGGTGAAGGACATGTATTTCAAGGATGTGAGTGAATTATCTACTGCTGTCATCACAACTTCATTGATATAATGCTTTATATAACTTTGATATGACTTTGAAACCTAAACATCAAGACAAAGCTTTTTTATGTGCTTTATTGATCCTACAAAGGAAATTTGTCCTTTTGCTGCATGAGTATGCTCAGTCTGGGAGCAGCACAGCAAAAGAGGGCTAAATGCCTTTGCCAAAGGGCACAACCAGGTACCCAGTCAATCCTGAGATTTGAACACAAAACCTTCCAGTTGCTGGCCTACCTCTCGCTCCACTAGGCTACTGGAAACCCCAGAGCACGTGTGAGATGTTAATACACAGAGACATATGATATTATCCAAAATTATTTTAGGCTTTATGGGGTGACATGCAAGGCACCATATTTAAGAATGTATTTTTTTTTTTTTTATCACCTGACTATCTAATGTTACTTTAAATTTTACAGCAGCTTTAAGTCATATTTATATTTATTCATACTGTTCTGTATGAATAAAATGACTGTAGCTGCCATCTTGAAGTTGAAAGCTGAAACTGTATATCCATGTGAGGATTCCTTTCCTAATTTTAGAAAAATGTTAATTTTTTTTGTTAACCTAAATTTGCGCTTAACTGTCCCACTAGCATTTGGAGGAAAGTGTTTCAGATGTTCTTGAGCGAAAAAAAAACAAACAAAAAAAGAATATAATCATTTACCAGTGGGCCAAGCATTTTTTCCAGCAATAGTAAGAGTTAAAACTACTACCCGCCATCTCTAACCCCCTGGGGTTTCTCTGTGTTTCTATTCAAGTCTTTGCTCATACCACGCAGAAATATAATTCAAACAGTTCCTGTACAGTTGCCCTTTCGTTTCGTATTTGACTTACTTCGGGAATTATGAGCCACTGTGAAAACCAGCCACTGAAGTCGCTGCAGCGGTTTTGGAGAATAGCGATGAGGATAACATTTATCTACTTTTTCATTCATACAGTCCACTACTTTTATGAACCTAACAGTTTGGTAAACACATTTCAAGCACCAAACAATGTGTGCACTGGGTAAAGAGATATTTGGGCCCGAAATTTGAAAATATTAAATCTGGTTTTAGAAATTCTTAATATCACCTGTAAAAACATAACTTTACTCATGTGAATGAATCATATGCAAGTGCCTTTAAAGGCAAATTTAAGAATATCTGCAAAAATTAAGAAAATGCCCTCAGACCCCAGAGCTGGAATTTAGTCTGTATGTTTGTGAAGTGCATGATAATTCAGGTATGTAGTTTCCTTGGTGCTAATTGGTGAGTTATAAGCTTCTGTTACTTGTTAATTCGTACACTACCGTTCAAACATATGGAATCATGTGCCATGTTAACAATTATTGTTATATACAATGTGGATTGAATTTTTACAAACTATTTGCCCAAAGATATTTTTTAAATGTTTTTTTTTCATTATTTCAAGTATTCTGTGAACAAGAAGTTATAAAATGTGTTGTAAATAACATACTGTATTTGCCTATTTACATATATGCTGTAACACCAGACCGAGGATTTATTTAAAACAAAAGCCAAGCAGGAAGCAATCTAGACAAAACAAAAACGATATAATTAATTTGGTTTCCACATTAATTTTATTTTAACTTCATTCTCGATGCTACACAGCTTTCTCAGTTATTTTAGATCTACAGAACTGTTCATCATTCTGGACACATTTAAGAATTTTTCATTTTTACATCTTCCTTAGTTATGTGAAATCTGTTACACCGGGATAGTATAATAGAAACACTGTATACATTTCTGCAACCAAGTTGGTTTCATATTCTTAAAAACATCGATTTCAAACTTTTGAACAGCAAACTTCTGTGATAGTGTTGGTTTGCCTCCAACACAAAACTAAAGAAGCAAAAGTTGAGCACAAACACATCTTGGCTGAGTGACTACATTTGAGGTAAATTTAGATTTTTTTTACCGAGTTGTTCCCTTAAAACAAACAACAAATGTGACTTCCCTCGAGCAGTAACTGAGGTTGCCAGCACTTTTTGGGCCATCCAAAAAGCCCATCTCCCCCCAGTATCCCCCCAACCACAGTCTGCCCTTTCTTAGCATCCAGGCAAAAAAGACAGCAAACTCAAACTCGGCCAAATTAGCCTTTTCACTACCTATAACCCAAACCCTCGACAGGGACACACTCAGGCCTGGAAAAATGAGCTCTCCAATGAGAAGCGTTGTGTGGAGTCCTCTGGAGGCCTCCGTAGCTGCCTGGCAGAGAGAAGAGGGGGAGATAAGCAGAGACAGTGAGAGAAGGTGGAGTGGGGGAGATAGGACTCTGTCCAGGCCTTTGGAGTGGGGGATTAATGCAGAGGGATGGGCTGCAGTCTAATGTGATGCTCTACGCTTCCGCTCAGAGCTTTCAGAGCCTGCAGTCATAATACATGCACTGTTTATGGGTTACTAACAACACTAGCAGCACTGCTAAAGAAGTGACTGCAGGATGCTGCCATCAAAAGCAAGAAGCAAGAAGAGCAGGAAGAGGACACTGCTGGGTCTGTCTTTCAGATGGACACAACTAGTTATATGTTATATAACTATATGCTATATGTTATATAGTCAGAGACACAAACAAACATATGTTACCATGAGATAAACAATACGCTCGCAGAAAAAAAGGCATGAAACTGCCATTGGGGCAGTACCCCTCTTGTCACTAGGGTGGTACCCTCAAGGGTGCATCTCAGTACCTTTAGTCAGGGAAGATAACTGTACCACAATCCATTGAAATTATATTTTCTAAGTTGTGTTGACTCCACACACCCCGTCTCGTCTCCAGGCTTTTTTATTTTATTGCTCTGTTTTAAAACTTTAGGTTATGAAAAGGTACAAATACGTACCTTTCATCTAGGAAAAATGATTTAAGGTACACAGTTGGACCTTAAAACCACTGTTGTATGTTTGAGGCAACATTTACATACTTTATATCTTGATGAACCTTTATTTCTAACAGTGTACTTAAAGCTTCCTAAAAGAAAATCAAGCTTCACTCCTGCTCCAGATCTGAAAGCATCCACAGGTGTTTCTGTCCATTCTTCTTCCACTGTGAGAAGACAACTCAATACTATGGGTCTGAAAGGATGTGTAGCTGTCAAAAAGCCCTCGGGGAGAAAAGAAGACAGACAAAAAGAATCAAATTTGTTCTAAATCACAGACATTTTCCGTTGAACACTGAAACTAGACAGAGCTGAACCCCCAACTTCTCCAAAATCATATGTGTTTGAGATTACTTGGATTGTGAGAAACAAGAATGCAGCCAACTTCTGAACTTTCTTCTGAACAAGACTGAACTTCGGAAAAGTATTCTTGCTGATTTTTTGAAAGACTGAAAATGATACTGAAAAAATAGATGGATGGATGGATAGATAGACAAATAGACAGACAGACAGACAGAAACACAGACAGCCACTCAAGAATGAACCCATGTACATGCAAAGTGGAAAGCGATCAATAATCATTTGGCTAACCAAAGTGAATCAGCTATTGACCTTTCAAGAATTAGATTTTCTAGTTTTAATAAAGTCAATAAATCTCAATCTTATGTTCATAGAATTCATTGTACTGAAGGCACTTTCCACAAATTAAGACGAACTTCACTATTTTTGTATTAAAGCAACATCTGTGAAAGAAAAATGATTGTTTTCTGGTTCTTGTTATTCATAAACATAATTTCATTTTATTAAAAGTGTGCTTTATAAAAAAAAAGGGTTTAAATTAAACAAAGAAAAAAGAAAAAGTATCATATGACTGAAAGTATTGCAGTGAAAGAAAGTTGCATTGCTGTCTTGAAACTGCTATTGAAAAGGCTGCAAATAGATACACACACACAAACAGATACATACACATCCAGACATGATTCACACAGCAGCGATAAAAAACAGGCTCTTGAAAGCTTGACACAATTCAAAATAATACAATAGAAACAACATCAGTCACACAAGTGGTTTTGTTCTGCGCAACTCAGGCCCTCAGAGGGAGACGTGAAGACAGACTGGGACAGTAACATCCACCGTGTTCAGCTGAATGACTCTGAAAACTGAGCTTCTGTCATGCTTCTATTTCTCAAACTGCACTAGCTGTAAAAGAAATATGGTAACTGGCATAAGAAACAACTCAAAAGTGACTAGAATGCCAGAGGAGAAAAAAGAATAGTGAAAACTACAATGCAAGGTGGCACAACTAAATACCTACAGAAATAAATGGTTAGAAAAAGACAGTTATAAGGTATAAAATACATACAGATGAGGAGAGATCTCAGTGAAGGTTATTTAAAATAGCTACACTATATATGTGTACATCATTCTTCTTAAATAAATAACTTTTAAAAAATAATTTCTTTTCATCTTTTCTTTTAAAAAGTTGCAAACCTGTACAAGCAGCTTGATAGTCCTTCTTAAAATATGGCCAAACTGCACTCATCAGATTTGCAGTGGAGGTTTCATAGTTCATAACCCACCGAGATTTGATGCATAGTTCCTTTTGAAATATTCTATAACTGTGTCTCACAATGTTCTGATAGGTCCAGTCTCTCGGTTATTCCCATACCTCCTTTGCAGCGTGTTAGAGTAAGTGTCCAGCTCCGGTCCTGGATGTCCACACACTGCAGCATTACTGTTCTTCTTGCTTTATGCATGTTATGTACTTTATTGATCCTACAAAAGGAAATTTGCTGTCCATCTATGTGCACAGTGAGAGCAGCACAGTGTTGCCTGGAGGGCAGTGCCGCCTGAGGGAGCAGTAGGGGTTAAGTGGCTTGCCCAAGGGTACAACCAGATATTTAACCCCATTAGTTCTGGGATTTGAACCCCCAACTTTCCAGTTACTGGCTCACCTCTTCTACCACTAACTTACAACATACAGCATTTAACCTAGGGGTGGTGGGTGGGTGGCGTTCGGTGGCAAAATGGTAACTTTCCAGCAGAAAAAAAAGTTTGCAATTTTAATATACATAAATATAAAGAGATTTTATTCCAGGTGATTTTGGATAATTTCTATTGGCCCATTCATCGAGATATTAACAATATGTAGCGGAAAAAGCTGTAAATTATTTGAGGGTCAAATTTTCTTACACTCTAAAAAAACAAAGCCACAGTGTTCTTTAGGTGATGCCATAGCAGAACTACTTTTGGTGGCCACTCGCAAAGAACTTGAGTGGGAAGAGCTTTGTAAAGGTTTACATAATGTAAAGGTCTTATAACCTTTTAAGGGTTCTTCCTAGAAACATTATGTGTAGGCTTTTTAAAATTTGTCACAGTCATATCTCATTTTTAAAAATGGTTCTCCAAAGAACAATTTATTAGTAGGTTTTCCATCCACCAGTCTTTGTGAACTTTGTAAAATGTGCAAAAAAACCCTAAATGGACAAAGCCCAAAATTTTGAAAAAAAAAAACCAAAACACCCAAATATCGCAAAAAGAGTTTTATGCTAGGACGAGGTAGAAAAGTTAGAATACTGCTAAAGCCGAAATGCAAAAAATAGCGATGGAAAGGGTTTTTTGAATAAACAATGACATATCAAGCCATAAGTAAGAAATGATTGGCCCTTCGGATGGTCCGATCGTGGTGCATAGCTTTTTTTGAAGGTCGCTTTAAGCATTCTGAAATGCCTAATCCAAAGCTCACTGGAAAAGTTGCTTTGTACAACATTCTCCCAGAATTGTCTGGTGCGTTTGCATTCATAGATGTAAAGTGGACATTGTCAGAATAGCAATGGCAATACTAGCCTTCGTTCAGTGGGCCATTGCTCACCCTGCCCATTGTCTCTGAGCTGTAAACAATCATAAAATGATGGCAAATGGCTTATTCTTCAGGCAGCCCCTAATCATGGTAGCCTATATCATCTAAAGTTTGTTTTGTAGTAGATGGATTGTAGTAGATGGAAACACAACTTAATTTGCTTTTTTTCTGCCTAAATTTCATAAATGCATGTAACATTTATGAAACATTTGAATGGAAATCCAGCCTTTAATAGCTTTTATAGGGAACCAAAAGTGGTTCTTCTGTGTCCCGGCACAAAGAACCATTCATGGGACCTTTATTTTATAGAGAGTATAATAGCAATGATATGCTAATACAGGGGTGCCCAATCCTGATCCTGGAGATCTACCAACATGCAGAGTTTATCTTCAAGTGTAGCCTAACATACCTGATCCAGGTAATGAATGCCTACAGGGGGATCTAAACAATAGAGCCAGATGGGTTGAACCTGAACTCTCCAGGGTGGTAGATCTCCAGTACCAGGATTGAGCACCCCTATGCTGATATATTTGCACTCTCTGGTAGTACCTTGATACCTTTTAGTACCTTTAGACTAGCATAAGAAGAAATGACAGTAATTCATGTCACTATGCATCAGAGCATCTGCCAAATCCAATAAATGCCCAATAAATATGTAAATCAAAACACCATTATTGAGTTAAATAAGCTGTGGTAGAGCAGGGTAAACAGTAAATGTGCAGTGTTTGGGCCCTCCAGGACTCCAGTGAGTTCCTAGCATTGTCTGTATTATCAGATCTGGATAGTGAGGTGGCAGGTATTTGTCAGAATGAAGCACAGCATGTCTCTGTTGCTGGTGAGATTGATGAACACTTAAAGGACCTTAATTCCCCCTGCATTAGTGTAGTTCTCCTGCTAAAAGTGTGACTACAAACATATCTCACAGTGTATGGTCTTTCCTTGAACCATTTCCTTAGTCAGTCATCCCAGCCGAATACCCTCCCAGTCATCTGGTAGAACTTCATGTTGAAGGGCCTGTAGAAGTCTCTGAGCCTCTGTACTACCTCAGGGTCAATGTTGGGGTGAGTCCGCCCTTTGGTTTTGCCCAGGCAGTGGGGTTTGCTGCTTCCCTCGGCCTTCTTGAGGCAGGGGAAGCCCTTGGTCTGGTTGAAGTAGAAGTGTTTGTCTGTGATGATCCTTTTGAGCCCCAGGAAGTCCTGCACGCGGCCCAGCTCTCCGGCCGGATCGCTGATCAGCCGCTCTCCACTCACGAACAGAATCTGACGCATGGGAAAGTACTGCAGCCAGTTGTCCAGATGCTTGGCGTAGATGCCGATCTGGATGGCGCTCCACGAGGTGTCGATCAGACCCGTAGTCCTGTTTTTGAAGGTCAGGCTTTCAAAGGAGGGAATGTCCGGCTTCTTGGACAGCGTCTGGGTGTAGTCTGAGATGGCCCGAGTGACGGGATCCCTCACCACCACAATCAGCTTAGTGTCCCGGGACATGGCATATATCCGGGCTGGAGCCTCACGGGTCACAAAGTAGCTGGGGGTTTTCTCCATGGTAATCTGACCCTCCAAGGTCTTGGGCATCAGGTCTCTTAGAAAAAGCAAAAATCAAGAAGCTTATTATTACCATTAATTTTAAGATCAGAAAGATGCAAGTATCAGCCCCAAGTTCTCTGCTCATAATGTATATTATAAATTAAGATGATCACAAGCATCAGAATCTTGCCAGTTACAGTCTCTTTGTTTGTCCACACTTCTTTATCTGACGAGAAGCAGACTTGGCAAAATCCGACTGACGGTCTGACTATAAAGGCTACAAACAATTTCCAGCACTTTCTCTGATGTTACCAACACAGCATTGCCCAGTGGCTGCTGAGCATTGTATACTATAGTTTGCTGAAGCACTGGCCAATCGCCTGCCACACAAAAACAATCATTGGTCATTTTGCGTGTAAGCCAAATGACCTCTTCCAGTTAAAGTAAAAAGTTCTTGGCCTCATTGACCAATGAAACCTAACACACTCTCTAGAGACAGACAGACATCTGCCTTGCCCACATCATAACCACTTGGCATGTATAGCGGCACATTTTCAAGCTATATATATATATATATATATATATATATATATATATATATATAAATAAAAAAATAATAATAATAATATAATAATAGCCTTTTGGTTAACCAATCCAACACAGGAAGCAATGGATCTAACAAACAGTACAAAGTGCCAAGTTTTGACAATGATAAATTTCCAGATTTTGCAATACAGAAAACTACATCTGACAGTAAATGACAGTTAGCATTTTCAAAACATTGATTCCATCCACAAACATTTCACAACTTGAACTATCAGATGACTACTGGAGAGCTGGCAATGACCATTGAAGCGATCAGTTTGTGGAAAGTGAAACAAATGCAGTCAGACACTGACTTACAGACTTTCTAAGCAGACGTTGGCCAAGTTGTAAACGAAAGAGCCTGTAAAGCTCCTATGGGACAGAAATACATCTTTACAAAGCACTTTACAAACACTTCTAATTATTTTATCACCACAAGACCTCAGACACAACTAGTATCTCCTTACACTCAGACTGCTCTTTCAAACTTCATGTAAACATCACCAAAGCTGCCTCTCAAAGCTTCTGAAGTCCAAAGTATACATGACTGCCAGATTCCTTCACAGTAGCACTGGGTAAATATAATTTTTAGCCATATTGCTTTACAAAACTATGATGTCTGCTTGAAAATAAATAGCTGGGCTTCACAGTAGAGTGAAAGTGTAGAGAAGAGATCACAGCGTGAAGCCGATGTTGTTGTGGTAGCTCCTTAGCATTAGTAAGAAAAGAAAGTCGGTCATGAGAAATGTCCACACATTGGAGAATCCATCAAAAGCAGCAAAACCTCCCACTGGCCAGAGGGAGCAGGAATAATATTTGGCTTGTGGCTTTCTCCAACTTTTAGCTTGACCTGGGAGGTTCTTAAAGAAACAGAAAAAAAGAGGCTAATCTATTAGTCTATGACACTTAGCCCCCCGCCTCCTTCAAATCTCTCAGTCTGCTCCCCCATCCACTCATTTTCACACTCACATCAGCCTCTTCCACTCACTCCCTCATTCTCTTCCTCTATCTCCGCTGCCCTCCAGGACAGTGACCTGAACAAAAGTGGGTAAAAAGCAGTATGTTAATGATTTATAACCTTCCTCTCCTCCACCATTTAGGGAACTGCAAGAATTTCCAGTTTAAAGCCCAAGTACAGAATCCAGACCCTCAATTATTCATCCCTTTCCACTAAGCAGGGGGCTTAGGGCCTGACAAAATGGCCTTTCTCGCCCCCCGTGGCAGGCACAGTTTACAGACCGTAACAGCATTAGCAGTTTGGGGTCAAAGGCTTCATCGAGGCCCTCTGGTCTAAACGAAGAGCTCCTCTTTCATCTGCTGCTCTTTCTGACCATGTGACTGCTGGGCACATGCCACCACACAACCCAGACCTTCAGCAAAGTGCGTGTGTAGCGAGTTTTCCGAGTGCAACGGCTAGAGTTTATCTGCAGCACAGCTGGGCTGGTAGATGGTTATGCTCGGATGAACACTCAAGCTGCTGAATGAGCAAAAGAGAGAGGGAGGTGGGGAAGTTTTTGTCCTACAATGTTTTAAACAGACTGGCTTTTAGAGGGATGCAGTAATGTGACACATAACAAACAGTTTTTCATCATCTGTTGAAATGCTAAATAAAACATTGCTAAAACACAGGCTCTGACAAGTTACCTCATTTGGGCTTTTAGGGCCAGTTCAGGACACAGCGTCAATCTAGTCTTTGACTTTTTTCCGCTGTCAGTGGTGGGTTTCCACTGAAAATCATTTTTATGCTGGCAATTTACTTCAAATGACAAAAGAACTAAACGAAAACACTCTACTATCAAACGTGTTGTAAGTACACTGAAAAAGAACTGCTAGATCCAAGTAATGCCTTGGAGGCCTGCTCTATTCAGTGACACATGCACACGTGACATGTGGACCAATTGCAGTCGGGGGAGTTTGGGGGGTTTTAGAACCTTAGAAAGCATTGATTAGGAGTTCCAATCTGCAAACACACTGCACTGTACGAACTCAAACTACTGTGTTTTTTTTTTTGTCCAAAAAAAAAGTTTTGCTTTGAAATATTGTGTTAATCTAAAGTGCAATCCTGGCTTTAGTCTGTATACAAGCGTAACCTAATACACAACTAATGTCCTAAGCCATGGTTCCCAATCATGGTCCTAGAGTTTTGCCCTAAAGTTTTGCTGCCTTGTAAATTTAGCTGTTTTCTGTATTCTAACACACCTGATTCCCACTGAACTTAAAATGAGTTTGTTTATATTCACATTTATTAATTTGGCTGATTCTGTTTTCCGAAGGAACTTTTAAGTGAGGCAAATATTATTCAGCTATGAAGGTATGATGAGCCAAATTTAATGCAATTGCTACAAGATTCTGTTGACAATTCAGCAATGATTCAGACAGTTGCATGGTCTAAGAAATCAACCTCCAGTGCAAGTCAAAAAGGCACAGGAAGTCAATGCAAGTCATAGTAAATTGTAAATCAGATTGAAAGCATATAAGCCTGGGGTTCATATGACTTATTTTGTTTCTAGTTGACTTGTCATTCCACATTACCACGTTTCAAAAAGAGCAAAAAGTATTTATTAGTAATATGTCACTAAGGGCTAGCAGCAGATGATGAATTTAGAGGAAGATATGCATTGCCAAAGAATTTTAGTGCCTTAATCTACCCTCAGAGACACACAGACCATCTAATGCCTGCAAAAACTGCATCAGAACCTTGCATTTCATGTCCAAACTTCTGTGCATTGTCCAATGGGAAATGATCATTTTTCAAATTAAATGCTGAAATTAGTTTGAAACTGTTGGTAAGGAGGACATGAGATATTCTTGCTCATTTGTCAACCGGTGAACAACTTTATTCAACATGAGTTTGTTTTTGTTGCAAAAACATTGGAAATCAGCCTACAACTGGATATATGTCATACCAACAGGTGACACCACAGGCAACAAGTTTATGCATAATATCATACCAAGAATGTCTGGGGGACAACAATGAGACATTTTTGGCGAAATATTGGTGGGAAACATTATTATGGTGAGAGCAAACTCAAAGCAGGGGCGATGGTGTGCTTGTTAACATTGTCTAATGTAAAACATAAGTTAGCATGGTTGAAAAGTTCCCCCAAATGTGCACCATTACATAAAATAAGCATTACTATATTATGTAATAATGAACATTAGCTCTTGAAAAAACTGTTCCATTAGCTAATGATAGTGGTTTATTAACTAGCTTCTTTGGCTTGTGCTATCAGTTGTACTCTGGACATCAAAAGAGCATGGACTAAAGGAATTTGGGTGGGTTTTAAAGGAGGTATTCCCTCGTTAGTGGCAGATTTCACCACAATACAGCACCAACAGTTTAAGAAGTTGTTCCCAGATGTGCATTCTCATTACGAGATCACATCTGGCCCTGAGAGACTAATGGAACCCCTAATGTGAGTGTAATCGAATCAAATGACCCAGTGCTCACTCAAGAGGAGGGTCCTGATAAGCTTCTTAAAAAAGCATGTTAAAGCAGGGAAAAGATTGAATCTGTTCAGGGTGGTGGTACTCCAAGTTCAGGGTTCTTGTTTCTTGGTTCTTAGGTAAAACTAACCCAAGCCTTGGTCATGTTGTATTTTTTCACTGCTATACTTCTTCACAGTGGTGATGTAATGGGTGCTTCTATGATCAGATCATGGTAAAAACCCTCCTCTGCTCGTCAGGTTTGTTTGGCTCAGGAGCAAAAGGATGCAGTAATAGTGAGGAACGACAGCTACAGCAGTTTGTCATGTTCAGACAATGGAGCTCAGAGATGGAGCTAGAGCTTACTATGGCTTCACGCAGTGTGTATCAGTGCAGAGAGAGAGAGAGAGAGGGAGAGAAAGAGAGGAGAAGAAGAAGAGAGAGAGAGAGAGAGAGAGCAAGAACAAGTCTCCCTTCTTCTCACATTACCTCTAGCCCATCACCTCAAAGGCCAATGGGTTGGTTTCGGTTTGAGCTCAGCAGCTCTGTGAAGGACGGAAATCCCAGATTTGAAGTCAGAGATTCCACAGGATGTACGTCGTGTAAACACTGATGATGATTCAGAGCTCCGATCCAAGCCACAATAAAGAGGGCCCTATTTTTCAATCTTGCTAAAAGCCCAACTTTTATTATTAGGAAACCAACCTTGATTACACATTTCAACAGTAAACCACTTGAGTCTGTTTCTAAACAAGTTTCCAAACTGGACACCAACTAGGAAGCAATATTTGGTGCAATGCTGCAGATGTCATTGCGCGATCGTCATAAGTTTGCTAGTACAAGAAACTTTTCCATTGCACCATCTGAGTGCAATGACCATGTTGAGCTCACAACAAATTATTGATGGGCAAAGGACCGTTGTCCAGGTGGACCTGACCTCCTGTCGAAGAAGCGCTGATGTAGCACTGTATACTTCGGGCCATCGGGCCAATGGGGACAACCACCCACCAAGCCAAAAACACACCACATTATCCCCTTTATGAA